ACGGCTTGTTAATTCAGTATCTTTGAATTTAAATAATATTTCACAAATGAAAGTAATATTTTGAAAGTGATTCATAGCAACCAACGATTGGGTTTTGATTGCACTAGGAATAGTGTCACTGTGCGGGATAAAACGCCGCAGACGAAAAGCTTTCGGCGTCGCAATCATTGACTTGGTGTTTTGGAAATACACAAACGCTGCTAATCTCGATTTTGTCTAGACTAAACTTTTATAGCGACTACAATGTACAATTGACCTGTGCCAACAATACCAAAAGTGCCCGCCTATACGTACAACATTCGGGCCTATACAAGTACTGTATACATGTCCTACTACGCGAGTGAAACTGCTCAATCCGTTTTGCCACATCCTCATGCGTTTTGCATGTATTCTGTCCATGCTTTATTTTAATGCGAATTGGAGTGCACAAAACTCATATAAATCACTCCTTATAAGTTTCTTGCAAGTGTTTTATTCCTTAAGATTTAGCGAAGTTCTCATTAAAATTACGTAGTATATAATTAAACGAAATCACATGCTTGATATGTATACAGTTTTGTGTTCTTAAAACACAAAAATTAACATTGAGTAATGATAATTTTTAATTGAGACTATTAGCTTCGAAACGGTTATTTTAACATTTGATGGTTAAACTGTTCGGGATGAAAAAGGTTTTAGAGAGTATAAGTCATTACAAAATCTATCATTACTAAAAATACCGGTCCGAAACATAAACTATAACATACCATGAACCTAGTAAAAACTAAGATCAAAATTACCTACTGTTTACCCTAAAACTGTTCTATCTATATGCAAGTATGTTCAATCGATGATATTAAAAAACACAAAAATATTCAGATTTGTTATTTTGTAACTGTTTCAATCTTGCTGAAATAACACGATCGAGTTCCGTATACAAAGCTATATTGACCCTGTAACTAAACCTCATTTTCTTTATAAAGTTACTATGATCAGTATCCTGAATTTAAAATTAATTTCAGCTTACTCAGGTTGATTGAACTTTTGTAACCAATAACCAAAAATAAGATTCTGAATTTGATAACTTCAACCCTTTATTAATGTGATGCAAAGTTTAAACAACACAAGAGGAGTAGGGACTTTAATTCCCGAGGGTAGAAAAGAATTGAAGTTGAGGTAAAACAGACAAAACAAAGTCATCGGTCTTCACCATTGGTGCCAACGTCCTGGGACGAGAAGCTATTTGTTGAATCGTTTCCATAATTCTTCCACACTCAATCTATGTGACCTACAAAATATTTTCTACTACTTGCTGAGTTTAAATAGAAATTTAAAAATTGGATAGCAGTTTCTTTGTGTGTTTTAGGCCATTAGACTTTTTGTGTTTTTTGTAAGTTGCTCCCAATCCTGTCGAATTTTTATAGCACTATTTTTGTTTTTGTTTTAGATGTTAGACGCCTCTTCACCTTGCATTTACTTGTCCACATAAGCCAAAACCTGATCGTGAAACCTCAGAGTAATAATAAATAATATGTATTATTACTCTGAGGTAAAACCTATCCAGCCAAAGCAAGGGCTGAGTCGGTACAATACAAGGGTGAACTGTACTGATAAACATTAATGAGAGGTTCCAGGATCCAAACCCATACATCGCTGCCTTGGATCCGGAATCCGGAGTCCGTGGCGCCGCCGACAAGGACACCGACTCACCAAACTTTAATTCATATCACCATTAACTCCTGACGCAATTGACAAAAAATATTCGGGTCTGGAATTGACCCAGCTTCTAATCAAACCAGCAGTCACCAGGCTTGAAGGTCATCCAATATGGTGCGATGTTACTCGGCTACTCAATAAAATAAGTTTTTCTTTCGAAATGAACTAAAACTAAAATAACCCAATGTATTAACCTTATCTCTGTTGTGCGACAATACTCTATACGTTTACATTTACAAAGTATTTAGGCTTACAGTACATTTCATGTTTATGTAAATTATGGTAGTGAAATTCTTAGAGCTATTTTCCTAAATTACTGCTGTTTTTTCATCAAATGGTAATAACTCTGAGCTGACTATATGGATTTACTAACTTCAATCGGTTTAATACTTAAAGTCAGCAACTCACATCACATCTAGCTGTGTTACTGACTCTAACCAGCTGTTTCTTAGCCAGAGCTTTATTAAAACCCCATAATCCAGGACAGCTGGGTCCAGTTTCCAATTCATCACAAAAGACTATATTTTTAATGATTAATTAATTAACAGACTAAGCTATGAAATGGAAAATATTTTTCTATAGAATACCTCTCAAAACAACTTCTGGCTTTTTTCAATTCTGCTAATGTAAATAAGCAGTTTTAGCGAATTTCCCATATAGGGAATAAGCTATTACCGTAGTACTCATGGTAAGATCTGGACGCGGGACCGATTTTTTTTTTCGTTTTGAGGTTACTAGAGGCCAAAAACACCATCCGTTCAAATTCATATATGTTATGTCCGTCAGCACGATAACTCGAACAAAAATGATCCGATTTTGATGAAATTTGGTACAAACGTGTAAACGTACGTTTATTCGAACGAGTTCGCGATCCAGCATGATCGGACCATGGGAACGGGGGTTTACGGGGGGTTTTATGGGGTAAAAATAGGTTTTTCCCATTTTTGACCCAAAAAACATAAAATTTAGCAATTTCTTTTCAAACCATTTTGTAGAGCTTAAAAAAACAAATAATTTAGTATATTGAAGCGTTATTATGCGCCTAATGGTTACGGAGAAAATTCCCAAAAATTTTAAATTTAAAATTCCCATTTTATTCTTATGAAGAATAAGTAAACTGTTGTAGTTTGCTTGTTTGTGAACATACTTTGATCAAATTTGGAAAATGTTTTTATTTCTTACTAACTATTCACATTTTACAAAAAAAAACAGTTTTACCCTCCCTGATGCAGCAAACCTAAGTACTTGTTAAACTAATTCTATTTAAATCAAGAATAAATGTTATATTTTTAAGTAGACATTTCAGTGTAAATCCAATCAGTCAAATGGAAATTCGCTTAGTCTGCAGGTTTGCTGCGGCGGGGGTATTTTAGTAAATGAGCCAATAATTTCGTCTATTACGATCGTGTTACTGTAAATTATCCTATCGATCAATGCGATTGCAGCAATCGATTTTCACAACTGTAACATCAGCAGACTCCCTAGAGAGAGAGTAAAAATGCTACTTATTTAGACCCGCAACGCATGTATAAAACCCGCTGTTTTTACTTTTAAAACCCAAACTTTTAGCAAACTTCTCTATAGGAAAGTAGGTATCACCGTAATATACTTTTTCATTTTTAAATTCCTAGTGGCCAAAATAAATTTTGTTCAAAATCTTTATATTTGTAGCCTATATACATGTGTCCGTAAACTCGTGATAGCTTGAGAAATTTGAGTCCGATTTTGATGAAATTTGGCTTGAAGATGTAGGGAACGATAATCTTAAATGGTCAGAAAAACAGCATGATCGGACCATGGGAATGGGGTTTTATGGGGTAAAAATTAAATGTTCTCATTTTTGACGTCCAAAAAATGCAATGTCTCGATTTTCAAGCTCAGTTATTTGATTACCGAGGAGAGCACCAAAGTTCCTATAGTAGTGCCATCACGTATGGTGATAATCAAGAAGTTGACAAATTAAGTCGAATAAATTAATATTAAATCCATAGAACACAGCTTCTTTCATGTTATTTACTACACCTTCATCGCATTTCAACCAGAGGTGATGAAAAACAAAATCTTCAGTTGTGACACGAGGGCGGTTTATTAGAACACACATAAACTGTTGAAAGCGGCAAATACCTACTGCTGATATCGAAATTCAATACTGAGAGAGCCAAACTCTTCGTCGGCGCTTTCAAGCGGTTCTACGATTTTATTAATTTTACTCGACACTCGTCGCAGCATTGAACAGATTTGAACTTTATTGTTACCAATTTCTGTTGCTTTATTTCAGGATGGGAATAATACTGACAATTTTATTTATCAATCAAAAGGAGCCTAATTATTAGAGCATGACTAATTGTTGTGTTGGCGGAGTAATACATTTCCCAAAAAAGAAAACCATAAAATAACCCATTTTTTGTTCAGTTCATTACACGAACCGAATGTGTATTTTCAACCATCATTAATATGTATATGTATTAGAGGTGGCTATGATGAAATACGATATATACACATATTTACCTATGAGAACATAAATTAAATATCACAAATGCAGCAGTAAGGGTATTAAAATGAAACATCCTCACACTAATCATTTAAGGTAACATTGTATCGAGTGGAAAATTAATTAGAAACAGGTTATAATATACTAAAATGTAATTACGTATTATGCTTACCATTAGAGTACACATTCCAGAATCTAATTTGGATAAAAGGGAGGAGATAGCAGTGTATATTTTAGGCGCTGGGTTGTTTGCTTAAAGTGTTTGCTTCGACCAATGTCAGTTTATTTGTTGTTTGTTTTACATGGCAAACGTTGTTAAGCTCGCTCAAAGGGGATTTTTGCGACATGTTACAGCGAAATGTATACAAATTTTGGCGATTAATATTTGTACTAATCACTAATTTATTTTTGTAAAATATCTTGAACCAAAAATTTTTAAAAATATTTCCTGCCATTGTGCATTTAGAGGTATTTATTCTTATAATCTGTTTGTTAAAAATATAATGTATTTCAATCTTTCTCATTTGGATATGTTATTTTTTATTTTTCCCTATCTATTCTAACGACTTTTTGTTTGTTTATTATAGTGGTCAAAGCTAATGATAACATTATTCTCCAAATCCACTGAAAAGCCACTTTTCACGGTTATATATTAAAATATAAATATTGCCGAAGTAGGCCTACACGAATCAATGATTCGCATCTATGATCGGGGATACATATGATGCACTGCTTAAATATCTAAGTTTGTTGTATTTAAAATATAGTATGGTTTGAAAAATAATAAAAACAGCATTACATTCAGTTTTCTTACCGTTGTAGGAGTGGAAGTAGTTTCTGATTGTGCAGCTTCTTGTTGACTCTTCAGCTCGGCTTTCCGCTCCTTCAGAGCCTTGAGCAGTTTCCACTTGCTACCCATGGGGCCGTCCTTCCCCGGAGGTTCGTCCTTTGCCGACACCGCGGGGTCTCCCTCTGACTTGAACCTCGGCAACGACGGCGTCCCCGGTCTATCGGAACTCACATCACTCGCTGCCACACTCACTGAGCCCTCCCTCACTGTCGCCGTCTCCTCTGTGTCCCATCCCTCGGGTATGCTGACAGACATCTCACTCGGCCCTACACTCAGCGACCCCTCCCTACTACCCGACCCTGACCCTCGCTGCTCACTCTGTCGGACGGCGCTACTGCTGGAACACCTCCTCATCATCTCCAACTCAGCAGCAACTGCTTTGGCTTCATCTACTTCCAATTCCTCTGCACTGTGCTGAGGACTGTCCGGTCCGCTAGTTTCTCCAGAAGACCCGCCATGTGTTTCTTCGTATTTGTCTTCGTCGCCGATAGACTTTGGCCTGTCTCGAACTCGTTCCTCTTTCATTCGTTCATTTCTCAGACGTTCGTCTCTTTGAAGCTCGTCAAGTTCACTTCTGTGAAACTCCTCTTCGCTGTACCGGTCGTCGTAACCGTAAGCATTTTTGTGGTCATAATCGTCTCGTATGCTTTCATTGAATTTCCGTCTTTCTTTATCTCTGAAACTGCCTCTCCTATCGTCGACCGTTTCCCTTCTGAATTCCTTTTCGTTAAACTCTTGGCTCAGCCTCCTCGGTTCCATAGCTATTCTCTCGTAGCTTTCTCTCCGTGTTTCTCTGTCGTATCTGTCTCCAGGTCTATCATCTATTCGTTCATAGCTACTTCTCCTTACAGCCTCGATACTTCCCCTCCTGCCATCTTTCGAACCTCTACGACTTCCTGGGATGTCCTCATCGTTTTGTCTTACTTTTGATCGCAGCTCCTGCAAAACAGAAGACATTCGTTCTCTCACGTCGTCCTCGGGTTCGTAATCCTCGTGAAGATGTTGAAGTTCAGCTTCCAGTTTAGACTGGCGCTCGAGTTCTTCTAGTTTTCTTAATTCGTAACAGTACCATTCATCCTCGCTGTCTATACTATCTTCGGTACTCTGCCTTCTTGAGGAAACACGAGATGTGCTTCTCCAGGAGTGCGTACTTCTATTGTCATCGTCAGTATCGCCTGAGCCTCTACCACCCCAGGGGATTTCGAGACTAGCTTGATGTCTCGGTGGAGGATAAGGACGACCGTGTCGGTTTATATTAGTACTGGCGTCATTTAAATATTGCTCTTCGCTATTCAATTGAGCCTGCTTATTATTCTCTTCAGAACTAATCCGTTCAAATATTTCGTTTCTTCTAAGTTCTTCCTCTTCTTCGTCAGTCGTTATTACAGTAAATATTTCGTCACGGGTTTTTGGTGGAGGAGGCTCTTCCGTCACCGGCGTTTCTTCTAATTGAGTCGAAGACTGCCTCCGCCTATACCTACCTAAAGCTCTAGACACAGCAAACTCTCGCGACGCACTGCCTAACGTAACAGGAGGGAGTGACATTTCGTCCCCATTTTGGTCTCCGTTGTCATTTTGTGACTGAGGTTTTTTAACGTCTCCTACTGTAGGAAACAAAGAAGATGCCCCAAAAGGATCTTCAAAGAGGTCTATTGTATTTGACGGCTTGTCGTCTCTCTCAGGTATATAATCTCGCGCATCAAGCCTTTGATCTACCCCCCTTTGGTCGTTATTTTGGAATTCAATTTGGTGTTCTTGTATAGAGCCTGACCTCTGATAGACTCTTTGCTCTTGTCTTTGATCCACAAACTGTTGATCTGGTCTATGTTCCATTCTTTGCTCTAATACTCTATGATCTCCTACGATGTCATGTCTTGCTTCAGGCTTATATCTTTCATCAGCTTCCACTGTTGATGTTTCAGAATAATCAGGCTGACATTGAGAGGATGATTGGTATGCATTGTTGGCATTCGCATTTAAATTTGACACTTGACTTTCATTCGACCTTTTTGTAAATAAGGAATTATCGTGGGCGTCAGAAAATACACTGTCCGGTTCACTGTCCTCACTGACACCACTATGACGACTACTCCATTCTGTCTCAGAATGTTCTGGATCCGACATACTTTGCTGTAAACGTGTTTTATTCTTTGCTTTTTGTAAAAACCCTGACATTGTGGAAACTAACTGATTCTTCTTCTTTTTACGACTTGAAGGTGGCTGTTTGCTGCGGAGTGATTGCGTAAATTGTTTAGTTGGCTCCTTTGTTAATGCTAAATCTTCTCTGCGTACTCCAGTCGGTAACGAATATGAACGGTGGCGCTTTGATAAGTGTAGTTCTGGCAGCCAGTTACTTACTGAGCTCATAGCAGATTTTAATCCTCCTTTTTTAGACTTTTTACTTTTTTCTTCTTGAGGCTCTTTAAGGTCTGACGCTATACTTATATACCCTGACTGTGACACTATGACGCTACTTGGATCATAATACCCCATATCACTAGGTTGGTTAATCACATCCGTTGCTCCTTTGCTCCTGATGTCCATATCACTGTATGCCATATCTCTTCTAAAATGTGGACGAGGAGTTCCATAATATCGTGGATCATATGCTCGCGGATCATACGCATCGACACTCGTAGCCGAACGGATCGTACTTGAAGTTTGGTCTCGGACCATACGAGGTTGCTGTTCAGGAATCCACGCATTATAATCAGGTCTTACTTGATGTCCGTCATAATTTGCATTGGTTGGGTAATATGTTAAGGCATCTGTTATATTTCCGGTGGGAAACATAGTTCTATACATAGCGGTTCTGTACTCCTCCATGTTTGAAACTCCACCTCCTGACGGAACGGAGCCAGTCGAGTATCCTCGAGTCAAAATTCTCTTGGCAGGTATCGTGGAGGTTATTGGATACGAGCTTATTGACTGGGTTCGATGTTCGTGGCTGGTTCTGTAACTTGAGGAGGAAGAACTGCTGTATTGATCTTGTGACGCATGAGGACCGATAAGATCGGGGTAGCTTGAAACCGTTGTTGTGGGTAAGTAATTAGCGGCCCCACTGGTATAAACTGAAGTAAAGTCTTGTCTATGGCTTCCAGCAACAGAATATATGGCCGGTTGGTCGTTGTAATAATAGTATTCATTTTGTACGGATGAGTTATCGTAATCGTATCTGCAACGTCTTTTTGATGCGGACGACGGTTGTTCGGGAGCGGGTGGTGGTACGAAATTTGAGTTATCAGAATGATTTGATAAAACATCTCCTGGCAATGTTGTAGGTGTTCTAACGGTTGTAAAGGCTGACGTTCTTAAGCCTCCAGGCAGCAAATGGTTATAATTGTTATTTCTATCGTCCCCATAACTGTAGTCAGAAACATCAACATACGTGGTAGGCACCGAGACAGAACATGTTGAGTATGAAGGTGGGTTGATAGGATGCTGTTGGGAGATTCTCCCAATATGTGCGAGATTCTCGGATGCATATGAAATGGGCGTTTTTGAATTCAAACCGTCAGGAGACTTCTCCAAACTCGACCACCCACTCATTGAAGATAGACCAGAATCAGACTTAGCTGTAACAATATGCGTCGATGAAGACTTAACAATTGCATGTTTTGGCGACGATCTAGGAGATTTTGGAGAATGGGGAGTTCTTGGACTTCTCCTACCTTGAACTTCTACTGAAGATCCAGAAGCACCCTGAGAATTAAACATACTGATCGGACTTTTTCTTAACATTCCATCAATATGTTCACTAGGCGTTAAGTAAATACTTGAATCTTTTGGAGCTGGCGGAGGAGGACTACAGGAGTTTTGTTTTAAAGAATCTTCTAAATCCTCTTCGTCTCTAAGAGGTGCGTCAATATAACCGTCTTGCCTGGTCCGTATCAGGGAAGGCGTTGGAGAGCTCACTCTTTCTGACGATAAAGAAAAACTAACTCCATCATTTCTGGCCCCACTTGAAAAAAGTTCTCTTCCGAGTGACGGATCTGCCTGGTATGTTGACTTACTTAACCTATCAGACTTTGGAGAAAGTGGGAGAGATCTATGCGACGAGGCAATGTCATTTAAGGATGAACCGTTCCCTGCTAACCGGCTAGTTGAAGAGTACATTATGCTTGGAGACGTCAAGAACCTTCTAGGAGAGGTCGGTGTAGAAATGAAGCCCGACACATTACTAGGATCATGAGTAGGTTCCTCAACAGCCAGTCTCGGCGACGCTGCTGCCTCGGCGCTGCTCATCATCAACATGTCAGTGATCGCTCTCGTCGTTGTACTGAATCCCCAATCTTCTAGTTCCGTTTCAGCACACATTCTCCTAAGTTGGTCATCTATTTCATTAGTCTTATCCTCTCGTACGTTGATTTCCGAAACGTCAGTAGTATCTTTCGAATACTTATGTTTTGGCGAGTCCGCGAGCAGCCTGTCCTGTAGTTCCCTTAAATTTTGCGAATCTTTTTGAAGCTTGGTCGTTAACCTATCTAATTCTTTTAGTTTCTCCAACGCCACCTGATCTACGGTTGACAGCTGAGATAGCGGTACTAAATCGTGATCGCTCACACAAGGCGAGCTACCCCTGTAATCCTTATAATCTAATGAACTGAACACTTGCGTTGGCTCCGAGGGCGCAGTTACTAAGTCTTTGTTTTCCTCCCGTTTCGTAGTCCCATTGCTGTCCTCCTCCGATTCCTCCCAGATCATTCCCAACTGAGACGAGCCGGAGGCGGCCATGGAACTGCTCGGACAACCTAGATCGTTTCTATAAGCGTTATTCAAACTCCTATAAAACGACTCGTCAGGAAGACTGAGCGCCTCCCCGTCGGCTCCGATTTGGAGCTTGAGTTCTGAAATAAACTGCGTGGCGGACGTGGACAACGCCATGTCAGTGTTCAACAGACCAATCTCGTCCACGGAACTGATACCCTGAATGATGCGCGGCCTATCGAGCAAGTCCATTTCGGTCTCGTTCGGTTCGACGGAGGAGTAGAATTCGATCAACTGTGAAATTACACTCTGTTGTTCGTAAAGTAGCACCTCTAGTTTCTCGAGTCGCTCCCACATCTTGATATACTCCTGGGAAAGCAGGTCAAGTGCTCGCCACGCGTACCTCAGTTCCGTCTCCAGCACCCCCAGTCGCGTCCCCAGCCGCTCCATGTAGTTCTCTATCACTATGTCCGCGTTTTGCCCCGAGGGCGGTGGCGTCCTCGCGGGCGACTCCGGCGCCGAACTACTTTTCACTTCCTCCATTGTTTACTCGGTACAAAAATAAATCTAACTCTGACTATGGTGTGCGACGTTCACGTCATGTGGCTGGTGGGCGAGGCCTGGTGCGAGCTCTGGGCGGCGACCAGGACATCCTTCTGTGGCGTTCTTCCCTCAGCATCTCCGTCCGCCACTCCTGCAAACATCGTCTAAGTCAGCGACAAGCCACAAGCAACACTGTGGGTGAAAAAGTGCCACGGTTTGAGCGAATCATACTATTTATGAGTAACTTCAGTTAACATATTAAAACTTAACAATACCTTACCGTAGTTACTTACTTGGGTTACATGTCATCAGTGTGCTGCTTGCAATATAATGTGTAAATTATATTTAATTGATGGTTATGGTATGAAGATACCTTCCTACCAGACTACAAAAACAAATGATCACTGAATTTGAATCATAAAACTAGTAGGTTTTACATAACGATTTTGAAAAAAAGTAGTAGGCTATTCATCAATAAATCATAAGACAAATTATAACGGATGGGTACATAGTAGTTTTAGTTATCGTGTAGTAACCAGGAGGTCTCTCATCTAATAGTGAGTATTTTTTATAATTAGAGACGTCTCTCAACCTAACTTTGGTTATAAGTAATCTGAGCCGCAAATAAATATAGTTTTTTTTACCTTAAAGTTTCCAATCATAAAAAATTTAGTTGTATATAATAACCAGCATTATAAATATGACAAACTAAACTGCCTTTTAAAATTACAGCTAACACGTTTGCCTTTCATTTGCCCTGAGCAATTGATCATAATAGTTACATACATTGTTAACATCAAACTCGATGTTTCGTCAAATTTACATAGTTGGCAACAAAACTCAACTACAAGAAGAACTAAGAACTAAACACAGTACTAACCGACTAACACTGTGTTGAAGTGCAACTGTGTAACAAATGGCTGGGGTTATTTCAACGTTTGCCGGTGAATAGACTCGCCTTGGTGAAGCTAATCGATTGATTCAGACTTGTTGATGTGCCCGAGCAGTGTCGTAACTTTGGGTTACCTTATTCATAACGTTACTCAGGGGTTTTCATTCGTAAAGGTAAATTTTTGCCTTATTCTTGTCATGCATGAGAAAAATCTCACATAGTAAAGAGTAATACAGATAAAAGTTTCAATATGTAAGGCTCAATTAAAATTTGGATTTCGGAAATCTTGAAGGAAGTTTAACCCTCTCCCTCCCACCGATTTGCTTTGATTTAAAATATGTTTGCATGCGCGATTAATTGAAGAACTTTGGCCCAATGCTTGCTCGTGAGAGCAATTTCAACAGTGCTTGTCATAATTTCAAAAAAAAATATAAATAACATATTTTTTAGCTTACAAATGTTTATGGACTTAACACTAATAACATTTCAAACTCTATTGATCTAAAACGTATTTCTCAATGTCAACCAACATAATAGATTCATTAACGATACGAGATAATCTAATTTTAGAAGTAGCAATATTTCATTCTCGGCATAATGCAGCAAAAACAGCCGTTTTAATACAAGCGTGGTGGGTCTTAATCCCTTGGGAGTAAAAAGGTTTTTTAGTCCCAAGGGAGTAAAAATCAGCTGTTGCAAACTAAGACTGTTTAAATCGCAGGAATCGAAATTATTTTCCGATTGATTTGATTGGTTGCAGCCTATTATTGCAATATTCTCTAATAGTAGTCGACATATCAATAGCAGTAAGACAATCGTAATAGACGAAATTATCGAATCACTTACTAAACAGCTGCTTATTTGGATAAGCAAAATTTAAAATAAGCTACTTGAGTAAAGAGCGAAAAGAGTCACTTGACGCCCTAGTGATGAAATATACTATCTGGATAATGAAGCTAGCTGTCATACCATTGCGGAACGGCTGTTGATAGTTTATTAAAATAGAGCACAGCCTCTCACAGAGTGCTCTGATGTCAAATTAGATTTTAATCCCTTATATTTTGGTATTTTAATATTCTATGTGAGATAAAAGATTATATAAGTATAAAACAATTTATTCTTAATGATCTGTTTACGTATTTACCGGAAACCAGTATGCAGTATCAGTTTACTCTATCGGTGGATCGGTTCAACTAGTAAGCCAATTTTCCAACAACTAGCTACATCTTTATCACGATATGGGAATGAATACTTGTAAATATAGTCACGAGCCTCTTAAACAGTGTTCACTTTGAATATAAACCTGTTAGTTAGTCAGGTGGAATATCTTGTTCAGTATCTAAAGTAAATTGTTTCACCCATTCATCTATCAGATGTTTATATCGATCATGACAGGACCAGGTGACCAACAGCACCTCAGTGTATACCCCTGGTCTGCCTACAGCGTGCTGATAGTAGGGCTATCAATCAGTCAGTACCCGTGAGAGTGCTGAGCTATCAGCAAACCTCTGATAAATCCCCATATCAGCAACATCACACGCCGTAATTCATAGGGAGACAGTAAACTCACGCTGAGTTACACAGCTGCCGTGTGATTTAGCACACAAGAGACGCCAGTTAACTCCTGTGACTAGGGGTTAAAATGTTATATTCCCACCATGAAACTAAACATGCGTCATGCGTACCTTAAGAATCATGTTTTATAACACATACACGAGAAAAGAGATAATTTTAATCATGGGTTGAATGTGTACCTAAATAGTTCTTACCTAACAGAATAATCAGTAACTTGATATCTCTTTGTCCTTAACATTAAACAGACATGCAGCAGAGAGCATTAATAAACTAAACCCTAATTGAAACGTTTGATCGATTTATCATATTTCCATTAAACCTTTATAAACCAAAGGCTTTACAGATCGCAGAGAGAATCAACGCAAATTTATTAACTTATCTAAACAATAAAAAAAATGTATATCGCAAACCTATCTTAGGATGGCAATTAATGTTGTGATATACACCTACAATATCAAATCATCACGACCATTCAACTTAATACAGTACTCTGTTTGGTATACTAGAAAGAAATGGCTGAACCATATACTGTGAAAGTACACATATATTTGTAGGTTGGTTTGAATTGCTAAGGAAGGATACATTGTTTGCTACATGTAACTTTACCCCTCCTCAGATACAGAGGTTCAACCCCTCTCTAACCCCCACAGAGCAACAAGTCTAACTCCCAACCCTTTATCGATCTCAAAGCGGCCAGAGCCAATCTCACCTCTTTGTAACGCCACTTTTCAAACAATGTCATACACATATAAACTGGCAAGAAGATTCAGTTGTCCATAAATCACTTTTTTTTCCAAAATTTGTTAAGTTATATTTTTACACTAAAATTATAAAAAATAATAACTTTGGTAAAATGACACGACTTTAATAGCTGTGTTGCCGATGGGTACAGTTGCCGTTTCGGTCCCGAGAAAAGTTAATATATATATATTTTATGTAAAACAAAACCCAGCTGTCTCTGACAATCGAGTTTATAGTGATATAAATCCTGTGTTGTTGCCATAGATCTCTATTAATACTGGTTGTTGCTAGCCTAGCATATTGGACTTCAGTACGAGAAGGACTGGTCCGATCCCCGACTTATTCTCAAACGACGAACCGATTGCACAAATTCCGTCATATGTGAAATCTTGGCATATTTCCATAAATCTAAATAACAAAATAAATTCGGTCGGAGGAGAACGTTCTCTCTCATGGTGGGGTGGAAACCGTCCTCCAATAAAATATATAAGATATTTTGTATCAAATAAAAAATAAAGCACTTGTTTGAGTCATAACAACCATACAAAAAGTAAAAAAGAAGTGTATGAAGCAACACTGAATATATTGTAAAAGTACGAGTAATTAATTGATACAATTAATTGTCACACTATTAGTAGTTTTTAAAATTAAATTAAATAATATCTTAGTAAGTTTGAACTTGTGGACCTATGTACTAATTACATCTAGAACTCAGTAGCAAAGGAAAAAAGTCAACGTTTACGGAAAAAGGAAGAAAATTAGCAGAGCGTCAGACCCGAATGCCACCTCCGTAGGGACTTGTTTTCAAACATCCCGACATTCTGAGGACGCGAGTGCTCTAAACCCGTGATAAATTGGCTGTCAAAACTCTCAGTTATTGGATTTTCCAGTCGCAATAGTTTCCATCATAAACTGTCGATTTATCTGTTGAAGCGTGTTAGAAATAGTTAAACTGTTTGTCAATAGTTAGTGTAGCTAAGGGGCGGTTCACGAGCTCGGGACTATCGTAGTCCGAGCCCAGAATCCGGAAATAACTGGTATTTGGGCCGCGACTTAAAAAATCGGGTTCACGAGCTCTAGACTATATAAGCCGCGGACCAAACTGATAGGCGGCACACAATTAGTGCAGGGATAAAACCCGGTTTTAAAAGTTGGGTTCACGAGTCCAATTACAGATAGTCCCGGCTCTGATCATTAGTCCCGGTGGGTTCACGAGTCAAGTCCGAGCCCAAATGAGATGGTTCGGGCCCAAAAGAACAATGGTGTTTGGTCTTCAACTCAGACCTGGTAGGAGGCAGGTTTAACGTGACATGATGCCGGTTTTATCTAATTAGCTCCTTTATTTTTATTATTTGTTAAAAACTAATGTTTAAATATGGTTCCTCATTAAATTCCGAACAGTTTCGTTACCCACAACACCATATTTAAAAAATATGTAAAAATGGTAAAAAGGCTCATAAAACATGAAAAAAATCACCAAACAACTTAAAACGACAGATAAATTATGCACGTAACAAAGTAGTATCATAACAAAGATATTTTACTGATAAACCCCATGTTATTACAGTTTTAACGACAAAATTATGCGTAGAATATAAATATAACTAATCAGCCACAGTTCCAACATAATTATCAGAAATAGTTTTTTTCCGTGGGAAACATCAAGCAAACCGTCAGTCGTTGAGTACGGTTCGCGGTGATATCACTGTCTTGTGTTGTACTCACTGGTCGCCGTGTGTATTGAATATGACTATGAAATATCTATACTGTATTATGTTAACAATTATGTACAATCACTCCACTTCCTCGCATAAGACCAGCTCGTTATCATGACTAAAACCCTTTTATGACTTGATGAATTTAAAAATAGATTAAAATGTTCCAAAGATACCGTCAATGAGTCATTTGAGGCGTTCACTCCAAGGCACGGATTTCCCGACAGC